TGCTGTATCTTCCGTAGGTCAGATTTAGCTTCGCCGAACGCCGACTCCGCAACGAGATGTGCGTACTCGACGAGTACTACTCTCACTCGAACACAAATGGTACAAAACTGGATTGTACTCTCACTGAATGATATTTCGTGACGTTCGGTCCTTTCCACCCTTCTCCGCCAGAACATTGCAGTAATATATATTGTCTAACAGAAGTTTTTGGAGAGCGCTTATAATTTGAACATCAGACCCAGGACTAAGCGTCATGAGATTACAGTGTACAGGTGTAATTCTCGCATTACTGTCACCCCGAAGAGGTTATAACACTGCAGGTTACTGCTGTGTTTCAGACAATGATTTTGAGAACTGTCGTCTAACCAGACAAGACATCTTTTTACGAGATAACGATTAACCAGCCTGGTTCAATAAACACCACTGGGCTAACACGGGTCTAACAGAGCACTCGTCGTTTTCGGACCGTCGCAACCGTTGGGACGCAGCGCTAGTCACATCGTCAGTCTCTCACGTCAACTTCACACACGCAGCAATACTGATGCCTGAGAACGGCTACTCTCTGAGTAAGAATTGACAGCACTCGACACGAAGACATGTCGATACTTGTTCGCTTGAAACTTGTCTATTGTAGAGAATGCGACACTCATTAACGTAGGGCATACCACTGGACGTACACCGGCTGAGACGCTATGGTAGTGGCGTCTTCAGTCTGCTCTAGTTCCTTAGCATTGCGAAGAGCTCACTCCAGAATGCGTCCTTGGTAACGTTGGAGTCGCGGGCGTGCTCCACTGCAGCAGCGTTACTGCGAATCGACTCTATCAACTGCGAAAGTGAACGGCCAATCTGAGACAAAATACTCTACTGTAGAGGAAGCAGCGCTCAAGGCACCTACCGCGTTGAGCTTCTTTTCAACTCGCAAATGTTCCAGTATATCCGCCCTTGAGGAATCAGTACTGCCTCCAGCACAGGAATAGAACACAGAGGTCAGCAGCGATGAGCAAGCCGTGGAGACTCGACCTTTCACGTCATCAAACCTTGTTACAAGGAAATCCCAGGCCATATCAGCGCCCTCAGAGGAAGAAGTCCGGACGGAGGCCATAACGGTGTAGTAGTCCGAGGGGCGGACCACGGGGTCCAAGCTCCACTCAAGAGTGCGCTGCTTCAAGCGTCTGTCCCTGACGTAACCGAGGGAAGAGTAAATATCAACAACTTCCGTCTTAGTAATATCATAGCGCTCTGCGCGCTCCCTGAGTGCAGTCCAGAAGTCTCCACCACCGGCAAGAGCAAGCTTGAGAACTGAGCTTCGTATATCAGCAGGGAGCGAAGCAGGATCCTCTAGATAGGCTTGGGCTCGCTGGCAAGCGGTGTCGACCATCTGCGTGTTGGTGTGGCAGTATTTGCTCGCCAGGCGAACGAAAGTACTGCGGAGCTGTCTGGTCTTGGACTCATCTGTAGGCTTGGAATCCCAACCTACACGAGCCAGAGGCCCCTCGATGAGGTCACTGACTAGTCTGTTCATTTCCTTGCCTCGGCCGACCCCGATACAAATGGGATCCAGCGCGGACACAGCGATAGCGATGGCATCCCACACATCAGCGTCATCCTCGTTCTTGTAGTAGGTCAACAATTGCAGGGCTTCACATACAGTCAAGTGCCTTGCTTTGGCCAACGCCCTGACGGTAGCGAGGAGTTGAATTCTGTCGGGGACCGGGAGGCTTCGGTCTGCCACTGCCTCGGCGAGGGCCACTCTCATCTCTGGGCTGCTATAATGGACTCTATAGGGAACCCACGCACCGTAGTTGAGGAGGGCCCATTTGCCGTTACCGACGTTGATGGTCTCAGACTTCTCACGCATCATAGTGAGTCTGCCCATCTCCCCCGATGGCGTCTTATCATCACCAACGAGGATCGGCACCACCCACTTCTTCTCCTCATCCCCTTCCTTCACCGAGCCATCAGATAGGAACCAACTTTGTGCGACTCTACAGTTACCATTGGAGTCACGAGGGCCGACCTCCAATACAGGGTAGCCCATCTGGTCGGTCCATGAGTCCATCATCTCCTTCACTGGCTGACCCGATGCCTGCAACCAGAGGTAGTATAACGCTAGCAGCTCTACTCGTACTTCCCTACCTCTTCAAAGGCCTGCCAGAGATCGGAGGTTTGTGTGTTCTTGTACTGATGGCGTTGCATGTAGATCTGCACGCCCTTCTGGAAGACCTCACCGCCGAGGACCGCCCACAGTGTCCTCACGATAGCGCATCCCTTTTCATACGAGATGGCATCGAACACCTGCTTCGTCGATTATGCGGAGGTCTGCCAAAGTATTCCCTCACCTCATCCACATCCTCAGCGGCGCTGATGGGCACCTTTATGGGGTGGCTTGATCTCATACCATCGAGATGGAAAGCGCTCTCCAAGTCCGAACTGACATACCTGGTAGCAGCAAGTGAGGACCAGGTTGATCCTATACCGGGCTACATGTTCCACAGACCCAAGTCGGGGAATAAAGCGTCTGCGGAGAGGTTCTCCATAAAGGTAGCGAACCCCTCGTTGAGCCAAAGGTCATCCCACCACTGCATGGTGACAAGGTTGCCGAACCACTGATGGGCCAGCTCGTGGCAAACCACGGTAGCCACGCGCTTACGGGTGCCGACGGAGACCTGTACATGGACTATGTGCATTCCGTATCCACACAAAGGAGAAGAGACCCAACGCATAGTGCTCAGTGAGCACTGCTCACCTTAGCTGGATCGCAAAGAAGATCGACTTCTCGGAAAGTGACTAGACCCCAGTTCTCCATGGCGCCACAGGCGAAGTCGGGAATGGCAACAAGGTCCAGCTTAGGGAGAGGATATGGAAGACCGAAGAACTTCTCGTACCTGAGATAGGGACATCACAAGGGCGACTATCGAGGGGCACATACCACTCCAAAACACGAGTGGCAGTGTCCAAGGCGAAGTGGCACTGGTCCTTCCTCCCTGGTGTGGCCAAAACACGGACCTAGAAGAGCCTACAAAGACTCATTCGGTGCTCTGCTTACCAGAGTGCCTCGCTGAGTTGAGGACTGTAGAAATTCAAACTCGCCTACGACCAGTGCCATGAGGTAGGGGCTCATCAAGGGGGAAGCCATAAAGGTAACTCTCTGCATCAACGATCCACTATGCTCAGCAGCGAACAGGGCTCGGGAGGCCTCAGGCATGTTGGAGATAACCTAGAAAGTGCAGTGCCCTTAGTCCGCTTATCATGACGGCAACCAGTGCTGCCTGACCAGGTTCTACTGACAGGTTCCCCGAGACGAACGGTATCCTCTACTAGGCCCCTCACCTGTCTATGAGCTTCAGTGGTGACTGTGATGCGGAAAACAGCTTTTGCGCTGGGCTCGTCAATGCAGGGGAACGCTCTTCGAGCGTCGATAGCCTCCATCTGGGTGCAGAGGAGATGCTTGGATTTGCCGTACTGATCCACATACCTACCGAAAAGAGGGTTGAAAATCGAACAGATCTATATGGAGTATTACGCCGAGCGATAGAGGCCGGCCATCTGGTCGTTGAGGGTGCCAACGAAATCGACGGTGAGGACCGCTGGTCCGACTGGGAGCTCCTCTGCAAAACAGAAGGTGCAGGTAGTGTTCTTCTCGCTAACAGCGATGGACTCAGAATTGTACGTCTTCCCATTGGAGGGGCATTCTAGTGTAACCTGCGGCATCATACCACACCACGGCTACATCGTGCGCTGTACCTACCCCAGCGCTAATAGCCAACTCCTTTGCGTGGAGGTTGATGACCTTGGTGGGATCTGTGATGTCCAACGCTATCTTCGATAGACCTTCGAAGCGGAAGGTGTCGAAATTTGGCTTTAAATGGATATCATATTCGCGAACGTGAACGTGGCTGTCCAGGAGGTTGCTGCTGCTCATGCAAGCGTCGTCAGCCATGGTAATGGAAGGGAGTTCAGCAAGGGTGTTCAAATCACTACGAAACGACCCAAGATGGGGGAGGGGGAAACTCAAAAACGCCGATGTGAAAAGGACATCGAAGAGCTCTGAAACAACTCAAAGGTTGGTCGCGAGCTGTTGCCAATATGAAGCGCTCGCGAGTGGGGAGTTGGATGCTCTTCCGACGAGGGCAGCATTAGAGCGGATAGTCTCTGCCACCTGGGACGCCGAACGGGATATCTAACGAAAGGGATCACCTTCATGCAGATGAACCATATGGCCTTCCTCTTGCAGCTATGTATGATTACCCCCTTCAGGTTGTTATCGGCCATCAGCTTCTCCACACGCTCCGCCATTTCCACTGTATAAGCATTCCTCGAGCAGCTGATAAGGACAGAGGCCAGGAGAGTCGAGCTCGCCGTAGACACTCTGCTACGAACAGCACTGAAGTTCGTCTCCAGCCAATCCCAGGCAAGGTCAGCGCCGTCCTTCGAGGAGAGCCTAACGCTCGCCATTGGGAAGAAGAAATCCTGGGTCTTCACCGATGGCGTCAGACTCCACTGTAAAACCTTCCGCTTCAGTGCTTTGCTGCGGACGAATCTACAAGGAGAGAGGCCATATTCGAGGAGGACTGGGCGAAGGCGTCTCACCCTATCGCGTGGTATATGTCGACACGTTCAGTCTGTGGTGTAGCGGGATCTTCAGCCTTACTTACGAGCTGCCTCCAGAGCTCATCGCTACTCTCCCCACCAGCTAGGGCCAACTTGAACACCGATGCCCGAACATCATCAGCTAGGCTTGTGTGGTCATCAAGGTAATCTAGAGTCATCTCGACACAGGAGGCAGCAAGGCCTGCATCCGACTGGCAGTGGATGGCTGCTAGAGAGGTCACAGCTGCTCTAAGTTGGCGGTCCTTTGCCGTATCAGTGTTCTTGAGGCGCCAACCGCACTTAGTTAGGAGTGGTTCAATCATACAGTGGACGAGCTGCTCGAAGGGCTCTTCCTTGCCGATACCGACACAGACTAGATGAAGAGCTCCTATGACTCTCACAAGGGCATCCCAGACATCGGGGTCGACCTCCTCTCTGTAAGCAAGGAGGACCTTGGGGATCTCCTCGGGCTGCACCCGCCCAGCCTTGCATAGGGCCAGTGTGTCAAAGGCGAAGTGAATTCTGTTTGCCACGGGGAGCTCCTTGGATGTGATAGCTTCGAGAAGGGCATCAACATCAGCATGGCAAGTGTAGTGGACTCGATAGGGTACCCAAGCACCCCAGTTGAAGGCGTGCCACTTGGAAGTAGACACCTTGACAGTAGTCTCTCTATCCTTTAGGAGCGTCAAACTCCCCAGAGAGGCTTCCGGGGTCTTATCATCACCAACGAGGATCGGCACCACCCACTTCTTCTCCTCATCCCCTTCCTTCACCGAGCCATCAGATAGAAACCAACTTTGTGCGACTCTACAGTTACCATTGGAGTCACGAGGGCCGACCTCCAATACAGGGTAGCCCATCTGGTCGGTCCATGAGTCCATCATCTCCTTCACGGGTTGGCCCGATACCTTCCATGGGTACAGTCAAACGCGGCAACGCTAACGCGAATTCTCACCTCCTCCACGGCCTTCCAAAGATCGTCTGTAGTCGCGTTGCCATACCGATGCTTTCCCATATACAACTGTAATGCCTTTTGGAACTTCTCCTCACCAACGTAGCTCCATAGGAGCCTCACAACCGCCGAGCCCTTCCGATATGATATATAGTCGAGGACCTAGAACTTGAGATGGTATTCCTCCAGCAGGCTTCCTTCTGCAATACTCCGGAGTTCCCATAGAGTGGCTGCATGTGCCATAGAGGATACTACCTGTTCAGCTTCTTCAGCACTATCTAGATGGACCACGATGGGATGGCTCGACCTCAGGCCGTCAACAGTTAGAGCTCCCTCGAGGGTGTCCGAGATGTACCTGATCCCAGACCAAAGTGCTGCGAGTGTACGGAGATTCCGGTAAGTACATGTTCCAGACGCCTAGTTCGGGCTGAAGGGCGTCTGTACAGAGATACTGCATAAAGGTAGCGAAGCCCTCGTTGAGCCAGAGCTCGTCCCACCAATGCATCGTGACCAGATTGCCGAACCACTGATGGGCCAGCTCGTGGGCTACTACAGTGGCGACTCGGGCCATTCGAGCAACGGAAGTCTGATGGCAGACGACGATTTACTCAGTATTCGGAAGATGGTGTAGCCCTACTCTTTCAGGATCGCATAAGAGATCAGTTTCCCTGTATGTGACCAGGCCCCAATTCTCCATAGCTCCCATGGCGAAGTCGGGAATGGCTATCATGTCCATTTTGGGGAGGGCATAGCGCATACCAAAGAAGTCCTCATACCTAATATGGGCAACCGAGAGACTCTTCCGAGGCGATCCAAGAGTACTACCATTCGATGGACTTAACACCGCAGTCCAGAGCATAATGCAGAAGGTCCTTCTTGCCGGGCGTGCATATGGTTCGAACCTAATAGTTGCCACCGACTGACGGGGATCGACTGAGGTATACGAAGGAGGCTACCAAAGTCCCATTCCGAGTAGTAGCCTGGAGGAACTCGAACTGGCCGATACAGAAGGCACAGAGGTAGGTGCTCATTCTCGGCGTGGGCATGAATTCCACCTTTTGATAAGGGATGGGGGAACCAGGGCTCCCACCATTGTACAGGCTTCTCGAGGCTTCGGGCATATTTGAGATAGCCTGATAGAACTCTGCGCGGCATATTTTGTCCTCATCCTACCTGTAGCCGCGCATCGCACGAGATGGTTATACGGAAGACAGCCTTGGCCTCGGGCTCATCCACACAAGGGAAGGCCCTTCGGGCATGGATGAGAGCGAAAAACGTCGTTCCCATATAACGCTGCTTGCCCGACAGGTCAGTGTAACTGATGAACACCATCCAAGGGTCTACACTCGATATAAAAGCACAGAGATAGAGCACCTCACCCACTTACCTAGACCTGTAAAAGCCGGCCATTTGGTCATTGATAGTTCCGATATAGTCGACGTCAAGGCTCCCCGGGCCCATAGACAACTCCTCCCCGAACTCAAAGCTGACCACAGTAGACTCCGGCGAGAGTCTCACAGAAACAGCCTCGATAGGATCACGACCAGATGGGGTAAAAACAACCTGAGACCTCCGATGGTTCCTTACCAACTGTCGGCAAATACTACCTTGGGCTCGAAGGCCAACTCCTTCGCATGTAACTTGATAATAGTTGTTGCCTCCACGACAGTTAAGTGGATCCGTGAAGAGCCTTCAAACTTGAAAGTGTCCAGACTAGGCTTGATATGTATCTCGTATTCCGTTACGATGATATTGCCGGGTAGGACATCCGAACCAGGCATGATGAATATTAACAAAAAATAACTGGCGTCAGAATCGAAAAAAGAACTACTATCATTCTTGGCAAGTTCACTCGTCGCGATAGCGATTCACTGTGAGATTCTCAACTTCACCTGAAGATATTCCCTTCCGAACGCAATACTATTTGCACCATATAAAAACTCATTGACTACCTCCTCACATGTGGAATTTCAGAAGACTTTCGACCAACACAACCATGGCCTTAGACACTCAAAACTCTCAGAGGGTATGCCAGAACTCCTTAGAGGCGATGGCACTCAACTTGGCACGCTCGACTAGGGCCGCGTTGGAGCGTATGTTCTCGACTATCTGCGAGATGATGCGGGAAATCTGAGGAGAACGAGCAGTCACTCGAACGAGGGAACCTTTGAAGCTTACGGAAGCGAGCTCCTTCTCCTTAGCGAGCTTCTCCACATTATCAGCCATCTCGTAGGTCACTGACCCTCGGGCACAGCTAGAGACCACAGCCGCGAGCAGAGACGGGCTAGCAGTGGCAACACGGCTCCTACAGGAGTCAAAGTTAGCGACCAACCACTGCCAGATCAATTTGCCAGCCTCTGGTGTGGAGCTTCGAACACTCCCCATGGGGTAGAAGAAGTCCTGTGGCTTGATGAAGTTGGTAAGGCACATGTCCAGAGTGCGCTTCTTGAGGGCCGGGCTGGCGATATACCCGAGGCTGAGATAGATGTCCATCCTACACCCTTGGGGGGTCTCATATTTCTCTGCCGTTTTGATGAGCTCCTTCCACAACTCCTCCCCAACTGAAGACTCGCTGCCGGCCAGGGCCAGTCGGAAGACCGGAACCCTGACGTCCTCAGCGAGAGAGTCGGCGTCCTCGAGGAAGCCACGGGTCATCTCAGCACACTTAGCGGCGAGGGACGCATCGGACGAGCAGTGCTGGGAGGCCAGGCCGGCCAGACAGGTCCGAAGTTGACGGTCCTTTGGGGTCTCACCGGCCTTCCTTTCCCATCCCACCTTCCCTAACAGAGGAGTTATCATACCCGACACCAACTTGTCCAACTCAGCAGTCCGGCCCAGACCGGTACAGATGGTGGACAGACCACCGATGAGGTTGGAAAGAGCATCCCAAACGTCCGCATCGACTTCGTTCCTGTACGCCTTCAGGACTCGAGGAGCATCTTCAGGACTAACTCGTCCGGCTTTGGTGAGGGCGAAAATATCACCCAAGAGGTTGACTCTGTTGGAGACTGGGATGCTCATGTCAGTGACCCCGGATAGAATCTTGGCATAATCCTCAGCAGAAGTATAATGGACCCTATAGGGCACCCACGCACCGTAGTTGAGGAGGGCCCATTTGCCGTTACCGACGTTGATGGTCTCCGACTTCTCACGCATCATAGTGAGTCTGCCCATCTCCCCCGATGGCGTCTTATCATCACCAACGAGGATCGGCACCACCCACTTCTTCTCCTCATCCCCTTCCTTCACCGAGCCATCAGATAGGAACCAACTTTGTGCGACTCTACAGTTACCATTGGAGTCACGAGGGCCGACCTCCAATACAGGGTAACCCATCTGGTCGGTCCATGAGTCCATCATCTCCTTCACTGGCTGACCCGATGCCTGATAGCTACATCTAAAAGCCTCCCGATCATTCACAAGACTGACCTTTTCCAGAGCCCTCCAAAGGTCATCCGTAACAGAGTTGCCGTATTGATGAGTCTTCATATACTGACGGACCCCTTCAGTGAACTTATCCGCACCCACTACCGCCCACAGCTGCCTCACAGCTGCCGAGCCCTTCATGTACGAGATTGCATCAAACACCTGCCCAGAACCATGCCAGTGCCTCAGTCAACTTCCAGCTGACCTGCTCAACCTCCTCAGCCTTATGGATCGGCACCACGATGGGATGACTCGACCGTAGACCATCCAGGGCTAGGGCCCTCTCGAATGACTCGTGAATGTATCTAAGAGAACGCTCACAGCCGAGAGGTCCTTCCTTCTCTTACGAGTTCCAAACACCCCACTCAGGGAAGAGAGCATCGGCGCAGGCGTACTGCATAAATGTAGCGAAGCCCTCGTTAAGCCAGATGCCGTCCCACCACTCCATCGTGACCAGGTTACCGAACCACTGATGGGCCAGCTCGTGGGTCACAACGGTCGCTAGACGGCTACGACGATTCACAGACACCTGATAACAGACAAGTCCGACTGGATGCCCGAACACCCTCAACCACACCCTACTTTATCGGCATCACACAACAGATCGATCTCCCGGTAGGTGACCAGACCCCAGTTTTCCATGGCACCCATGGCGAAGTCGGGAACAGCTATCATGTCCAACTTAGGCAGAGGGTAGTGAATCCCGAAGAAATCCTCATACCTGCCACATATGAAGACCATATGATGAGTCGAGGATCCGCCCGAGCGCTACCATTGAAGACAGCGGATGCCCACATCCAGGGCGAAAGAGCACTGAGCTTGCTTTCCTGGAGTACACAAAACACGCACCTATAAACTAGAGCTCCAAGATAGGGTCCAATTGACAGAGTTTTGCCCTACGAGTGTGCCATTCTTAGTGGTGCCTTGGACAAACTCAAATTCTCCCACGCAAAAAGCGACGAGATAGGAGCTCATCTTCGGGGACGGCATGAAGGAGACCGTCTGGTAGGCCACAGACTTGTCACGCTGGTCACTGAGGAAAATAGTCCTCGAGGACTCGGGCATGTTCGAGATGACCTGAGAGGTTGACGTCGTCAATGCCCAACAAGGAGGGCGATTCTGCACTCACTTGTAGATTGGCATCAGTAGTGATGGTAATCTTAAAAACGGCCTTGCGTTCGGGTTCATCGATACAGGGGAATGCCCTCCTAGCATCGATGGCTTCCATCTGGGTGCTCAACATATACTGCTTCTTACCGAACTGGTCGATGTACCTACAAGAGAACTTCATCATCAGGCATCACGGAGAAGGGATACCCAGATCGGTAGAAGCCTGCCATTTGGTCATTGAGTGTCCCGACATATTCAACAGTCAACTCCCCTTCGCCGGGTTGGAGCTCCTCGGAGAACTCAAATGTGCATTCCGTCGCGGCCTTCGATACGCTTACTGACGAAGCTGTGATAGACGAGCCACCATATGGGGTATAGGTAACCTGATGGGCAATACATGACATTCATTTCTCTAATGAGGACCTACGTTTGGATCAATCGAAAGCTCCTTAGCATGAAGCTTGATGACCTTTGTCGGTTTAGTGACAGCCAAGAATATCTTCGATTCACCTTGGAAACGGAAAGTATCAAAGCTCGGCTTCAGGTGCACATCGTATTGACGAATATCGATGTTATCGGGAAGGACATAGCGTGACACCGAGGGAGTTGCCATAGTTGAGTTACGACAAGCTGCCGATACCTGCATTTATACACCTCAAACCGGAAACGACCAATGAGCCAGCTGAGGTCATTCTACTACAAAATCGATTGTGTGGCGACAATTGAAGCACTGCATCACTCACAAGACCATCGAAGAGCTAGCAACACCAACAATAACAGCACATACATGGCGTACTGAGTTAATCGTTTTGCTACACGAGCTTCCCAGCTGCTGGCTCCGCGCCGCCTTAAAGAACGGTGTCAATCTCCTGCAAGGTGCAGCACGAGCAAGGACCGTCCGCAAACCTCTAACCATCGCTGGGTGGCTCAACACGTTTCGGCTAGTCAAGACTGACATTATCAAACAACCTCCTACAAACAAAACTCTCCTCCTCCTCGTCTCCCCCATTATAGCGACCAACTCGAGCCCAAGGTATTGTTCACTTGAGAAACTTGGTAGCACAAGGTATATTCACTGACGCACAGTTAACTGTAATCAGAGACGAGTCCATCACTTGGGGAAGTAACAATGCAACTTTCCTATGATGTCTCTGAGAAAGACCAACTCAGCAGCATCACAGATCTGTCCAGAATTCTGCAGAAGCTATAGCGCTCTTCTTAGCTCTTTCTACCATGCTGGCATTCGAGCGGATATTCTCGGCGATTTGGGAGATGGTCCGAGAGATCTAAAACAATAAGTCAGCTCCACCAATTATAACACTGTGATGACGAGTTACTTACCGAAGTGAGCTCATTGTCTTTGGCGAACTTCTCGACACTGTCCGCCATCTCATACGTGAAGCCGCGCCTAGTGCAGTTGAGTATCACACCAGCTAGCAGAGAGGAGCTGGCGGTGGCGACACGGGCTTGACAAGCCTTGATGTTGTCCAACAGCCACTTCCAAGTCATTTCAGCAGCATCTTGGGTGGATATACGAACACTCCCCATGGGGTAGAAGAAGTCCTGTGGCTTGATGAAGTTGGTAAGGCACATGTCCAGAGTGCGCTTCTTGAGGGCCGGGCTGGCGATATACCCGAGGCTGAGATAGATGTCCATCCTACACCCTTGGGGGGTCTCATATTTCTCTGCCGTTTTGATGAGCTCCTTCCACAACTCCTCCCCAACGGACGACTCGCTGCCGGCCAAGGCCAGTCGGAAGACCGGCACCCTGACGTCCTCAGCGAGAGAGTCGGCGTCCTCGAGGAAGCCACGGGTCATCTCAGCGCATTTAGCGGCGAGGGACGCATCGGACGAGCAGTGCTGGGAGGCCAGGCCGGCCAAACAAGTCCGAAGTTGACGGTCCTTTGGGGTCTCACCGGCCTTCCTTTCCCATCCCACCTTCTCTAACAGAGGAGTTATCATACCCGACACCAACTTGTCCAACTCAGCAGTCCGGCCCAGCCCGGTACAGATGGTGGACAGACCACCGATGAGGTTGGAAAGAGCATCCCAAACGTCGGCATCGACTTCGTTCCTGTACGCCTTCAAGACTCGAGGAGCATCTTCAGGACTAACTCGTCCGGCTTTGGTGAGGGCGAAAATATCGCCCAAGAGGTTGACTCTGTTCGGGACTGGGATGCTCATGTCAGTGACCCCGGATAGAATCTTAGCATATTCCTCAGCAGAAGTATAATGGACCCTATAGGGCACCCACGCACCGTAGTTGAGGAGGGCCCATTTGCCGTTACCGACATTTATGGTCTCAGACTTCTCACGCATCATAGTGAGTCTGCCCATCTCCCCCGATGGCGTCTTATCATCACCAACGAGGATCGGCACCACCCACTTCTTCTCCTCATCCCCTTCCTTCACCGAGCCATCAGATAGGAACCAACTTTGTGCGACTCTACAGTTACCATTGGAGTCACGAGGGCCGACCTCCAATACAGGGTAACCCATCTGGTCGGTCCATGAATCCATCATCTCCTTCACGGGTTGGCCCGATACCTGAAATCGAGAAGCTGATCCACAACATATATATTGGAGGAAAAGCCGTATGAGTAAGGAACACCGTATAGCATACCCATATCGAGCTCAAAGTCAACCTCCACTACGACAATTGAATTAACAACTACCTTCTCCAAAGCGTCCCATAAGTCCTCCGTTACAGAATTGCCATACTCGTGAGCATGCATGTATCGACGGACGCCCTCCTGGAACTTCTCAGCTCCGAGGACAGCCCACAGCTGCCTTACAACTGCAGATCCCTTCTCATAGGATATTTGGTCGAACACCTGAGAGTAGTAATGCCTCGAGGACTGATACTGCTAACCCTTACACTACCTGATCGACCTCCTCAGCATGGTAAATAGGTACAACAATGGGATGGCTAGAACGTAGTCCATCTAGCTGAAGGCCACCCTCGAAGAACTGGTGTATGTACCTGCAGATGCATCGATCAGGGCCGGACTCGCCACCCTCCTTTTTATACGTGTTCCACATGCCAAGCTCAGGGTACAGAGCATCAGCGCTGAGATTCTCCATGAAGGACGCGAAGCTCTCATTGAGCCAGATGCCGTCCCACCAGTCCATGGTCACAAGATTGCCGAACCACTGATGCGCCAACTCGTGGGTAACAGTGGAAGTGATGCGCGCGCGACGCTTGGTAGAAAGCTGTCATGGATAAATGCTCCTTCTTAACGGCAGACGGCCTCGCTACCTTCTCGGGATCGCACAAGAGATCGATCTCTCTGTATGTGACCAGACCCCAGTTCTCCATGGCACCCATGGCGAAGTCGGGAACAGCTATAAGATCAAGTTTCGGCAAGGGATAAGGAATACCAAAGAAGCCTTCATACCTACATCACCAATAGTACGAGGGTATCAATACTCTCTGCTACTACCAAGTCAGGACCCTTGTGGCAACCTCCAAGGCATATCCACACTGCGACTGCTTCCCGGGTGTACACAATACACGTACCTAGTAAGGCCGTGTAGATACGATCACCTCCCAACGCACTCCCATAGGAATCGCCACGAACATCCCATGCCTCGTAACGACGTTCTAGGAACGATAGTAAGGTATCGCTCCCATGTGAGGAGCCCTGGTGCCAAGCTTCGTACTAATAATAATTTTGACGTATCAGAATCCACAGAGCATAACCACATGTCAATAATGTGAGCACAAACCTCTAATATTGAGCAGCTGGTGCATGTACGTACCAGTGTTCCCTTATCTGTGGTGTCTTGGAGGAACTCGAATTGTCCGACGCAAAAGGCCACCAAGTATGAGCTCATCTTGGGAGATGGCATGAACTCCACCGTCTGGTAGGACACAGGCTTCTCATTCGAGCCAGCGTTGAATACAGTGCGGGACGCCTCCGGCATATTCGAGAGAACCTGCTAAGCCAAATGTTCCAGAAATACCCTAGGAAGGAAAGAACCTGTAAGCCGGCATCAGTGGTGATGGTGATTCGGAACACGGCCTTGCGATTGGGTTCATCTATGCACGGGAATGCTCTCCTAGCATCGATAGATTCCATCTGGGTGCTCAACATGTATTGCTTCTTACCAAACTGATCAACGTATCTACAAGGCAGTTACTCAATGAGGCATCACGGAGGAAGAGAGCTACCCAGATCGGTAGAAGCCTGCCATTTGGTCATTGAGTGTCCCGACATATTCAACAGTCAACTCCCCCTCGCCGGGTTGGAGTTCCTCGGAGAACTCAAATGTGCATTCCGTCGCGGCCTTCGATACGCTTACTGACGAAGCTGTGATAGACGAGCCACCATATGGGGTATAGGCAACCTGATGGGCAATATATGACATTCATTTCTCTAATGAGGACCTACGTTTGGATCAATCGAAAGCTCCTTAGCATGAAGCTTGATCGTCTTCGTCGGTTCCTTCACTGTTATTGATATCTTTGACGTCCCTTGGAAACGGAAGGTCTCGAAGTTAGGCTTGAGATGAACCGAATACTCGCTAATAACGATGTTGTCGGGGAGCACATAGCGTGCGAACTTCGACGAATCACCAGGACTGGACATAACCGAAGAACGAGATAAGGAGACCTACGGCAAAGGAAATTCCTCGAGACAGTTGAACGGAAAGAGTTCTGAAGTTGCGCGGCAGAAACGTTGTTCGATGGAATTCCGTATCCGCCGACATCCGTTCCAACCAGTCCACGACTACTTGCGAAGTTGAAGCGAACCCTGCTCGTTGGAGTCCTGTCAGGTTCGTGAGAGTAACACTAGGTGAGCTGAGCCCAGATCTTAGCCTTGTAGTAAAGCAAGCTCGAGAGAGCGTAGCTATATTGCTCTTCAATGGGCATCTCCTCATAATCGAAGAGGAAACAACACCAAGTGCGGCCATTGGAAAAAGGACAGGCACAGCACTATAGGTGAGGGAATAATTATGCAGCAGCTCAAAGTCTTGTCTAACCCTCCTCATCAGCTTCAGGCCGAATGCCCCACACAGAAACTGTCTCCTTTGTGATAAGCAGCTCTACAAGCATACCCACACTGTCCCGTATGCATGGTTCCGTATATGCAGCCGAGTAGTCGAAAAGGCACGAGCAGTGGAAGCATAAGGAGCGATGATAAGGAACCTTCGACACCCTTCCTGCCCCTTCTTAAGGCCCACTCTGCTCTTCGTGGAGTTAATTTCTCTGGGCGGCGGGGCGGCTATGCCACTGCCACAAGATATGCCCGAAGCCTACAAACATATCTCGTGGTGAAGCCAAAGCCTTTCAGTCATAAGAGAGGATTTGAGAATTGTTCGAAGGGATCTCAAGGGACCTTCGTGCTGTCAGTGAGATCGATTTTGCTCGAGGGGCAGATATGCCATCCTCGTCCTCCAACACGACATTGGTAAGAGAACTGTGACATGTATTCAGTGGCAGTTCGACACTGGAAAAACAACAGTCCATCGATGGCATCTTACAACGGAATTGACTGTGCTCAAGCATATCTTGGAGTGATGGCATAGCCGCCCCACCCCGAGGAATTGATATCACTGAGAGCGAGAGTGGCCAAACCTGTCGTCGCGACCTACGGTGAAGTTAATCCACAAGGTGCCTAGCTGCTCCGATGTTGCCATATGGCGTCCCCAAGACGGTCTGATGGACTGACATCAGTGAACGCGCGTATAATGGCACGCAAACGCATGTTGCATGCAAGCGCGTACGAAGGTATAATATGCGAAACAAAACTTCTACCCTTATCGAGTAGGTGGGGATAACAGACAGCCACTTGAGACAAATTTATGCCAAAACCACTGACAGCAGCATATCTGCCCAGGTCTTGAGCTCTGAACGCTAGACCACTGTTCTCTATCTTGGAAAAAAACCTACAGTGACAAATAAATCCAAGTCAAATGGAGTCTATTCAATGGACTAGAATCGTAAGCGGACTACAACTAGATCATTGTGATATGAGCTGGGCGCCATCAACGTCTTTCCCCAATGGAGCGTTCCATCCTTGAAGGAAGCGCCTCAGAGGAGAGTTGGCGGTAGCCGACGCACGCTCGACATCCAACAGTATATGCTCGTTCAAGCGGACATTGGGTAATAGCCAGAGAAATGCTAGCGGGATCAACTGGAGTCCGATGCATACCAAGGAGACTATCCAAAGATTATCAAACTGACTCGACTCGTCAACACCAGGGAGACCTCGAGGGTCTACACCTAGATTCTTGCTGATGAACCCTGTGATGGATCCGGTACTCATGAAGGAAAAGTTGAAGGACGCAGCGAGGAGGGCAAACATCAACCCTTCAACGTTCTTCGGGCACATGTAGGATAGCATGAGAAAACCCGGCATGTAGATGAGGATCTGGCCAACTTGAACCAGAGCAGTGCTACCAATAACGAAGACTTTGTCAGGAACGCCTATCTCAAGATTAACCCGGGAGTATATCATAGGATCTCCTAATTGCAAAATGAGAATAACCAGAATGATAACAATGTAAACTCGACGGTAAGTCCATGAGGCCATAAAGCGAGTGACGATTACCACAGCGACAACCCCTGCAAGAATGCCGACTGTAGTCACAACTGAACCGTAGAACAGGGCTGAAAAATTGGGTCCGCCAGGAAATTGAGCAGCATCATCTGTGAAAAAGTACTGAGCTGCCCCTGAGGGTTGCAGCCGGGTGACGCCGAGAATGCTCTTAAAAATCACCAACTTTCCAATCGTGGGGTTCAGCAGCATCGAGGCTGTCACGAGTACAATAATCAATAGCAAGAACAGCAGTGCTAAATTGATCGAGAATGAGGCAACAAAGAGAGATACCACAGAGTAAACAACAACTATCGCGCCAACCAGTAGCGATAGGCAGACCAGTTCGGGTTGCTCCTTCCACAACTTCTTCCGCTCATCGCGCGCCATGACTGGATTGAGCTTCTCCTCCCCGAGATAATTGAGCGAGACAGGGACGAGAAGTGCAATTGAAGGGATGATTGTAGTGCCTAGCGCCCACTGAGAGCCAGTGTGGCCTCCAATGGAGGGAGCATACTGTATGATGATTCCTGCCAGCAAACCAGCAACGAGTCCAACTATTTTCTGGCCTGCTGTGACGTACCCAACCAGGGCAGGACCTTCAGTGGGAACTTCCGACACCTTCCGAGAGTAAACAGCCTCAGAGAGCAAATCAGCGCAGGTGATCCAGTAGAAGATCATCATGAACAGGCCAGCGATGCCGTACTGGACTACCGACGGGGAAGGCACAATGAGCACCGCCAAAAGAGTTCCAGCTATACCGATTGCCGCTGCACCGACCAAGTAAGGCATTCTTTTATAACCGAAAATAGGATAGCAGTCCGACAAAAGACCCATCCACGGCTTCAGTGCGAAGGGCATAAAGACGATGCTCATGTAACGATCGATGAATGGGCCAGGCACGTTCATATCTTGAAAGTAGAATCTGACGACACTGTTGACCATAAGATAGCAATATCCTTTGGGCCAGTGGATAGTGAAGTGAAGGGCCACCATCAGCTTCCACCCAAAAGCTGTAGAAAGTCTACGCAAGAACCCCCACAGGGGTGTGCAGCTGACGAGCCGTAATGCTCCTCCACATAATGCAGCCATTGAGGCCATGAACAAAAAGCCTGACAGTCCCCATATACATCAACAGCAGCCCTTGTCGATATACTCGTAGCACTAGCTGGTGGTGAGTGACGATACATTTCCCTTTAGCAATTTGCTGGCGGGCCACGAGCCCTCACCCCTAACCTCGCTACACCTATTTCCTTCTAAGTAAAATCAATCCCACCGAGTGGGGCACCTATGCCACTACTACCCCAGGATTCGCTTTGGTACAATCAATTTTGCGGGAGCATGCGATAGGAAGGAAACCTTCGTCTAAACGGCTAAAGCAACTTCAATTTCGACCAATCATAGAATCAATTCCGCATGGGGCAGGTATGCCATACCGTGACCGCTGCCCATGTTACAAGCAGCTGCAAAAACGCCTCACTGGAGTTTATGCCATACAAGTCGAAAAATCACACACAGAAGATTTGATAGGCGAGAACGAACAGTTTGTTCGTTTCTTCGTTTGTTTTATTCGGAACACAAGGAGCTGTAAATCACAAGCCGTGAGCGGTACGAGTCACGTAATAGCAGGAATGATCTTTTCCCACCAACTATCTGCAATGAATACAACGGTCATGTGTGGCGATTCACATAACCTGCCCCACACACACGCATAAGTTACGCGGCATAACCCTTCCCCGCCGTGGACTATCTCGGATCTCCACTCAATACACAGAGTGTATCGAGTGCTGGGATCCCCGGCCTCCGTCCGCGACCTCGCCTAACATTGAAGAAGAGCTCGTGTGGCGAATCGATCATTCGGGGAGAAGACGCTCCGACAATCCCCGTAGTTGAGATCGATTCGGGACGACGACGAGCCCTTTTCCTATATGCGAGGTGGCGGACGGGAGCCGGGGACTTTCACCCTTCTACCACGACCATGATCCCTCTGAAGGGAATCTTCACTCACATCCAGCCAAATCGAGGTCTGCTGCGTCACATATCCTGTTAACACGTGCGCACGCACGCAGCAGCACGATGACGGCAGCACAAGTGAAGAGGAGGAAGCGGACGAGGCAACGGCGCCACAAACAATAAGAACGAGCACCAGCAAGTGAGCCAGCGTAGGAATGGTGTCGAAAATCATGTAAGAACCTTCCCAAGTACAACCCCGATGATTTCCTTCCGAAGCAGCACAAGCGACAAATGTACAACGATGACAACGCAATAGTCGATAATCAGATCAAACTGGAAATGCGATACGTTACGAGTGCTTGATCAGTATGGTTGCGAGTATCCATAGCCTCTTCCGCCAGGTGCCCCTCCATACGATTGAGCCGGCGAAGCTCTTTGAGGACCACCAGAATAGACAGGGCTGTAGCGCGTCATGCTGCCATGTTGCCCACCACCAGCCGTAGCTCCATCAAAGCTAGAGTAGGGGAGAGGCGGCCCTCCACGGGCTTGATAATATCCCCTAACACGGACAACACATATCCATACCTCCCGACACTGATAGGGTGGCACTATTCAGTTGCCTTCTCAATTCTACGGAGTGGCTATTGCAAACTGAGCGAATATTTCACTTCTGATCCACCGTGCGATCGAGAGCTCTCAATAAGCTACGGTCCATGGGTCAGATCAGTCGATAGCATCAACGTCATACATACATGATCTGAGCTCGGGCTCATTGTCCATAAGCCTGAGCTCAGATCATCCATAAGTATCCATAACCGATGGATCCTCATGTAGATCCAATTGGGGCACGATTCGCTTCTAAACGTCCAGATGTATAAGGTCAATAATTCCTCCACTTCGTCCTCTTCTAGACGACGCAGATAATTCCGTCAATGACGAGGACGAAACTCGTGTCACGAGCGAACTTATTTCCATGAAGCCCATCTCTAGGGCTTCAGGGCTCTAATTTCGCATCCCCTCACCCAGAGCTGCTTCCTGCCATCTGCTGCTCTTCATTGGGAGGCGGGGGCGGGGGGTAAGATGCAGGAGACTGTCCCGCTGAATGAGGAGACTGATTTCTCGGCTGTGCCTTCTTAACATCGACACGAACGCCGTCAATAACATGATTCTCCGGGTTATCCATCAGACAGTTCCGCGCACCTGAGCTCAGAGCGATGAAGCGGTAGCTAGAAAAACAGTCTCTGGTGATAGGCTAGGCTGGCCGCTCAACTGCAATGCCCCTACCATACTCTGAGTATTTAATGACATAGGAGAAAAAGCACGAACCCAGGGAAGAGGTAGAAAACAACAACCCCGATTATTTCGGTCCTAGATGATCCTCGCTCGATCCCTGTTCAGGGATCGTTGTATAGGAGATCCCTACGCATTAGGCTCATTTCTACACCTCAATCTCAAATTCGACGAGTGAAATCGCATTGCTTATAAACAATTTTCGTATAGCTTCATACGAGAAAAAACAGCTTCCATTTTCATGAGCAACCCGGAAGAGAAAACTCTCATTGATCGACGGAAAATTGGACTCCGTAACGCGAAAGGTTCCACGACTTTGCGATTGAGAAGGCGTAATCGCCTAAATTTCAAGCAACTAGACGGTCCGAAATTAGCCAGAAGTGGGAAGGAATTGAAGAATCACCTGAAGGATCCGTGAAGACGACGAAAAGATAGTTCTTATTGGGCGGTCCTTCAATATCCTGGACCGGCCCATACTTGGAGAAGTGAGTCGCGATTGCCTCATTGCTCATTTGAGGAGGAACTCCGCCGACGAAAACTCGATCAGCAGTTGTCTGCAAAACCCAAAAATAAATCTTGAAAAACTGTTCGGGAGATTTCACGATTCTGGAGAGCCGACTTTTATGATATGAATGCCAAGGCCATCGAGCGCCTACGATCGTTATTACTTCCCCAATATTAATTTGACGGTTATGCAGGACGAGATCTCCCTTCCTCCGCATAGCACCCATCTTCCCTTCTGCCGTCTCAAATACGACGAAGCCGAAACCTCGACTCCTACCTGCGACCAATGACCAACGACATAAATCAGAGAAAGTCAGGTAGGCTCTATAAATCCAATAATTGGCTATTAGCAACTACTATAAGTGCTTCAGTAAAAGTAGTCGTAGTAATTGACAAGCAACCAGTGAGAATCATCCACAATAGATGTTATCGCCTCCGACGCCGGAGGGCATTCTCCAGCGAGAACGACTTCACAAGCCCGCCGACGCCATCACTGCATCGAGCTCCCCCCTCTTCTATCAGAATTTTCAACAACCCATTCCGATAAGGAATGCGCTATGCTGTTCACGACCACACTAGAGCCCAGCTACCGTCACACCAATAGACCATCCTTAAACCCCTACTACCCGTAACCTTGTCCATTTTTATCTCGACCGACGCCACCGGCCCAAATTGAGAGAAGAAATCCGCCACATCTTCTTCAGTGGCAGTGAAGGGCACTCCGCCTATGAAAATCTTCGGACCCGTTCGGATAGGTCGCTCGGCAGAGGACCTCCTTGGACTCATGCCGATCGATGGTATATTGCCTGAGTACCTGAAAACGAAACGGTAACAATAGACAACGAAACACACCAAACAACAGCCAACTATGTATGTAACCGACATAGAAACTAGAACCCAGATAGGCCTGCTGCTAAAAGAGTAAGAAAATCGTCCACAGACCTGAAGATTCATTCGCTCATCAGTAATCAATTCACATACGATATGCCCCATCGCTTCGCTCCAGAGAGCTTATTACGTCCCTTTAACAGAACCACATTGACAACAACACTACCAGAAGTGCTACTCACCCAGCATTATCCCCAGATGGTGAATTCTGACCACCCAGATGGACGCCGCTTCTATTCACTTGAGACATCAACAGTGTGGAGCCACAACAGCAAACACACAAGAAGAAGCTACTGAGGATGCGACAACACTCTCCCTCCCAACAGACAACCCCAAACATGCAGCCATCAACTCCTCTAATTGTCCTCAAGAACACAAAGCTTCGAATTCACATGAAAGTGCCGACTTGCATCTTGTGACTTTACGCCCGCTACACCAGTAACCTCCGAGCTGTCGCACAACAACAGAGACAGAAGAGTCTTCCATCGTCCACAGCACTTCAGTCACAACAGATAATAAAACAACTATAAAAACACTCTGGTAACCTTTCTTTGGAGTAAAAGCGGCATTCAGTACCATAAACCACCAGCCAACTGGACAACGATACCGAATCGCCAAGCACAGACAGCAACAATGATTGGTGCTAACGATATGCTAGACCCCCGATGCAAGGTAGACATAGTTGCAACCGACATATAGAGTAAAGAACAATGGTATAAATAGATTATCCTAGAACGACACTCAGGTCCGCGTTGTGGTTAGTCCTTTTGGATCCTCCTGCATTCGTAGTAAAAACGCTTCTCGTCGGCCTCGCCCATGCTGAAGGTCTTCCGAGGAAGAGCACCATCGTGCACAACAGTCTTGAAGAGATCCGACTTGTGCATATCAGGAAGCACAATACCAACGTTGGGCGTACCAGCAGTGCAGTACCTAATGAACAACAGCATAATCACGGCTCGTATGTGCATGCGTGCAATTTCCCATACCACTCTTCGCCCAAATCACACCCTAAAGCTCACCTTTCAATAGCTGTCAAACCATGAACATAATCAATCTTAGTTCCTTTAGCTTCATTACTCTTCATATAAGGATCCACAAAGTCCATAACAGTAGCAACATCCAAGACCTTCTTCGGGTTGGCAACAAAAACACCACCCTTCACACCGTCTACCATGTACCCAAAGCTATGACCAGCCACCTCGCCCTTCACTGCTTTTTTAAAGTCCTCCTCAGTCTCGCTCACAGTGACTGGACCACAACCCTCCTTCTCTAAAAACTCTGTCATCTCCGTGATGAACTTCCTACTACCACCGTTAGCGTCGAATATAAGCCTATGAATAGCCTCAAACGCCAGGCCATCATCATGGATGTTCTCAATCTCAACCAAGGCGAACCTCGCAGGATGCGTAGCGATCTCCTCAGGGTCACTCAGCGTCGCCTTGACCTCCTGCCAGTAGGCCCTAGCAGTAGCCAAGGAGTGATTTCCATCACCAACTGCGAAGATGAGCGGCTTCTTATCAGCAGAAGCATCATACAGCTTGTGGAAGCGCTCAGGCTCAGCAATGACATTGAGGGCCTTGGCCACTTCAGCACTTTGAGAGCTCTCGCCGTCAACCCACCAGCCAGACAGATGGCCACCATTCTCCATAAGGTCAAAGTCATACACCTGCTTCAGCTCGTCCCTCTTAGCGAAAAGTGGCTCCAAGACGGTCTTTTCCGGATCATCGATGAGGACCATAATATGCGGCAGCTCCACAGGAGCGTTTCGACGCACATCTAACAATGACAAACATGACATAGTTAACACACTAGTGACAACAACTCACTCAAACGCGGGGGAATCCTCGACTCGATGGTGGCCTCCGTAGGACGGATCTTGCTCTGACTTCCGACAGAATAATCATACATCTCCAAATCCACAGCAGTGACCAAACCAATGCGCTTAGCCCCAGTCTTGGTCGTTCGTTGGAGAACAACCATACCAGCCTTCTCAGGCTTCACCAGCACACCTTCCGCCGTGTACTTGGCCATATGGTCAGAGATGCTCTTCAGTATCTACCACACAGCATTTGCACAACGGGGATCCCCACTAAGCTTACCTCCTCATCGTGGCCTTTCTCGAGATAGACCTCAGGGAACATCAAACGCAGAGTGCTAGGCTCGCTACCCACAAACTGTTCCACACGCTCCCAGTAGTCAGGCTCACTGGTATACCTAATAGGAGCTTCTAAAAGGCGGCGAACATTCAGTAACACGCCTTACTGATCACAAGCAATAACCGTCCATTTCGTCTTGTCTACTTTTTCAGCAGGCAACAACGTATAGGGGACGCGTACGCCAACCTTCGAAAAAAGCTCCTCAGCCGAAGAGGTCATAATGGTGTTGATATAAATGAATACGAACAAACTACAACAATACCACTCCACTACGAAATCGTCATCCCACCTAAACCAACAAGGGCCATAGTAGACAACCTCTCACAGCTTCGCTAGTATACTGGAACGCGACGAATCTCCCAAAGCCTAGCGACGGCAGGCGGAGCGATGCTTCCTTCCACATCACACGCACTCTACGAACGACCATGTGAAGCCCAAGCATTGTCACGACAGATGCAACACGAATAAACAATAACCAGCAGTAAAAAGGACTGATGACACTACCAAAATTTTGCCCCTTCAAAATAGTTAAATACCTCTACCAAAATTAGGACCTAAATCCTAATAATTCCAATGAATGGGTCGACTGTATTGGTAACTACGACCCTCCTATATGACGCTTCCTCATCTAACCTCCAGCCAAGGCTCATGCTAAAACGACTACATACCACACCATATTCAACCACCCACATCTAGCATGGTCATCTACAAGTAATTTTGTGTTACGTGTCCCCCCTCCCAACATGCCTCCAACGAAGGTGTTGTCACATTCATAACTCGCGAACAATAACACAAAAGAGGGGACAGTCAACGAGAAACACGTTCAGTACATAGTCACTTAGAATTAAAACGATAACAAAAAGCACTTAGACACATGAGTACCACTCCTTTTACAGATCAGAGCCTTCATCAACAGACGAATCTATAGAGCCAGTCAAGGAGTCGCCTCTTGAGCATTCTTTCCTCCGCCAGCCGTGGCCACCCCTAAACCCAGCCCGTAATCAAACAATTCCCAGCCGCCACAACTCACCTGAATGCTCCTTCTTATCACCCATATGTTCAAGGAAACGCATCCACTTCACAAATTCAACCTCACCAAGCTCCGTCCTGACTTGGCCGAAGCATTCATACCTCCAACAAGAGCAACCTCACGACCCGTCACAACAATACAGCCGCCTACACCAAACGTCCGACCTCTTCACTGTTCATCGGTACTCCCAATTGGGAAAATGCCTCAGCCAACTCGCTCAGGGATACCGAACCTTGCAAAGGCCTCCCACCAACCACGGCAAGAATAACCCACCACTGTAGTCCACGTCGATCTGGCGAAAGAAGGCTCTGAGGTCCTCAGCCTCCTCCTCCTCACTCGGCTTTACCAAAGCCAGCACCATCAGTACCTACCAAGAAGCTACCGCCGACCGCTCCCCAACGACATACCACACCTTGAATTCTTCCTCGTCCAGCTGTCCAGACCCGTCCTTATCAACCATCTTGAGGAGGGCACACGCCGACTTGCTCGCCTCCGTTCCCGGGACAACCCCCATTGCTGCCATAACCTGAGCCACTCCTCTACGACCCCAACACGAGCCATCACACTAGCACCTCCTCCATCTCCTGACAGTCGACAGTTCCACTGAGGTCAGCATCAAAGCTCTCAAAGGTCGACTCGACCTTCTCCTTGGCCTCTTCCGACAGCGATTTGTACGTAGCCAGCGCCGCCTCATACCTACCACAGTGAGCCCGAGTGATCCAACACGTGAGCTCACCACCAACCTACTCCTCATCAGAGATGGTATCTGCCCCTTCAGCGGCCAGACGTCGAGCTTTACCCTCTAGCTTCACCACAGAGAGGACCTTCAGCGCTTGCGACAGTCGTTCTCGTTTAACATCAAAAGTAACCTAAGCACAAAACGTCACTAATACACAATCTCCCGACCGATTCCACGCCTCGATAATAATCTTCCAGTGACATGTTTGGATAAACCATGGATTCATAGGCTAGCGAAACTCTATGTCAAACTTCACACATCTCGCGCGACCGAAATTCGCTGACAATTCGATTCGGACATGAATAGAAATACACAAGACACGCCTCATCGTATTGATAAGCAAACTGTGTTCATTGCTATTACCTTTTCTATCAGCTGAGGATCTTTGAGATACTCGATGCTCGTCACCAATGTGAGCCTACTCATAGCATGAGGTACCTTGAAACGGTCACACTAGCAGCACCACAGACATGACCAACACTTACCAAGTATCTCGTCATCACCGCCCATTCTACCCACGATAGGACGTAAAACACCCAGGATACGACCGACCACTGAGCGGGGCCTCCAACAACGATGAGCACCTGCAACACATGTCGAGACTTCCACAAGGTTTGGAGAACTCACGATAAGAGTTGCTGTAAGAACAGCTTGGAAGAACATCATCATCTCTAGCATGTGAGCGAAGATATCCAATGAGTACTCCTCGAACCACATCAGACGCTCCTGTGCATTAGGAACCTAACAAAGGCAATACTCCTCCACTGCGACCTTCTTGCCGCCCCCCAGAGAGACAAACATACCAACTAAGTACTCATTATCGGGTTCCCCAAATGCAAAATCTCCGTAGCCGTAGAATACCCCAACCTCTAGTTCGAACTACAGAGGTGTTACAACCAACCACTTCCAACCACATCCTAATACAGGGTGATCGGGAAGCAACGCCCAACCCTCATAGTTTCTGCAACGCGCATATCGATGATTCTCTTCCGATGATAGTTGGATCACTTGCATACTCCCCTTACTAGCTCAGTCATAACGATACGATAAAAAATATACATTAAGAGAATTACAGAGAAATTACGAGAGATGAGTTATTGTTTCGAGTCAGTATGTAACCAACCGTTGCCATCAACCTACCCTATGCCTATGCTGACAGATGATCTTCATCACAGTGCTTCTCTGATGCAGCGGTCGGAAGTATTCCTCTTGCTGGCGGAACCTTGGCACCCACGAGAACATTCCTGAGCATTGCATATCACCACACCACGAGCATCACCGTAACCTCACTTGACTTGGCATGTAGTAGCGGCTCAGTGAGATCCTCCTCCTCAGACGACTACACAAAGAGTCCATCCCCAAGACCTTCGAAAAACCACACATTACACAAGCCGGTGATTCGCTGTCAGAGGGGCGCTTAGTGGAAGCTCGATCAGGAGAAGACCGATAGCTTCTCTGAAATGCTGCCAGGGATGTGCCTAAACGAGCACAGGGAAAAATGGCATACACGACAATCACCTTGAAGTGTACCAGAGAGCATCTGTAAGAGCACGACTGCTCTCGAAGGGACCACGGGGGACAGAGCCATCATAACGTTGCTTATATGAACCTGACGGTGGGTACCTCTTGAGAGGAGGAGAACCAATACTTACGTAGAAGGTGAACATAGCCAACAGCAATAACCACGAGAAACCACAAATCATAGCAATACGCATTGAAGTGGCATAGGACAGTATCTACGAGAACACATCGTTACCTAGATCGAAAGAGTACACAACATTATCAACATTCTCACCCACGCAATACACGGCGTGAAGAGAACAGCCACGACCCACGTAGCCAAATCAACTTCTACCAATTCGACCTGATCAGAGAGCTTCATATCCTCCAAGATCCCCCCCCCCTCCCTACAAAGCCCTCTCCCAACTTTTCCGTCAAATACCTCTCAAAGTCGAAAACGATGGGGTCTCGAACCTCTGGCACCTGGCCAGGCGCTCACCACACGACACTGCATGGGACTGTCGCCCTCCCACCTGTGAAGCCAAAGCCAACTTCTGCTGTTCTCGACGATGTGAAGGGAAGAGGAATTCATGACGCAGGAGCCTCCAAATAACAATATCACGCAGCTCATCAGGAACAACATAGGAGTACTGAAAAAATACACAAGTTGCCCATCCTCAACTTCAGCGACAACGACAGCGACCTTATACAACCGAAAGAATATTCCTGCTCAGGAGACACCCAGGCATACAGTCGGACTTGACAGCGCGAAACATCACGATACCTTCGTCTACTCCTGTGGCGTGTTCGGTTTTCTACACCCATCGATTGGAAGCGGATTGGTTACTATTACAAGAAGCGCGATGGATACTCGCATGGAATAGATACTCGTCTTGATACAAAAATGCGATGCATATGAGGTCAACACCCAACCTACCCAGTTCTCCGAGAACTTCAACGCTGACTTCTCGTTCCCCTCCTCATCAAGGAAGCCTCTTTCGACTAGTCTACGCCTGATGCCAGGATAGATCAGCGAACGCCTCCGCGATGATAGAGTTACTCTAGGGAGTTGTGGCGGGGATCAGCGTGCTTCTCCCGACCTGTCTCGGGCATCTGCTCCCACACGTCCCACCTCCTAGTGATGCGCTCTGCACCCAGCATCAAAGTAATGCACTGGAATATGAAGACTACCATCACCTGCGGGTGTCCATCACACTACTCGTTATCTGAAGGCCCTAGCTTACACAGAAGATTATCATATGAATTGACTCGAAGCTCTCCGCAAGAGGATCCTCTCCTCCCTCCTTCGCAGCCTCACCAACGACCTGTTCGCATGACGTGTACATGGTGATGAACTCTTCGAAAAGCAACCCAGCTTACAGCCTTGCTGATCTCCTTGGCTAAGCCGGTCTTTGTACCTTACGAGCCGCACAGATCAATCACCTGCTACTGCTATTGGTGCGCTTACATATGAAGACAAACAGGCCGATGAAACCAAGGATCATGATCTCCCGGAAGAGAGTATCCATCATCCGCACCAAAGTAGTCTTCCCCTCCTCCTCGAGCTTCTCTCTGATTCTCTCTTGGATCTGCCGAGAAGGTCGATGCTCCCAAAGATACCCGATTGCTTACGTATTCGAACAGCAATGAGAGGACTATCACCACGACGACCTCAGTGACGTAGACCCACGAGGAGACTTCTTCCTGTAGACGAGATGAATCCAAGCTGCAACGCATCTCACTGCCATCTAACCTCCTCCTCCTCCTCGGTCTCCATCTCAGCATGCATATCAGTGATGGAGGCCAGCGGCGAGGGTGCCACCAAGCGGGGCACTGATTGACTTGATAGGAACGATGGGTGGGAACTGGTAGAGCCCTGTAGAAGCACAACACATGAGCTGCACGAAGCAAGTGAGGACTACTACCTTAAATGAGGTGGTTAGAGATGAG